AAGATGAAGTACTGGTACCTTCTACTACTTTGACAAACCTTAAATTATCAGGATAGCTGAAAAAACCAAGTCACAAATATGTCATATTGTTTGAAACCATTCATTTGAACTGTCTAAAATAGGAAAGTCCACAGAGATAGAAAATAGATTAATCCTTACAAATAGATGAATCCTTATAGGAACTAGTGGGTGGGTGAGAATACCAATGAATATAACTTTTGGGGTGATAAAAATATTCTACCTTGGTGTCAATGCCTCATGCTTATAATCCTAGAATTATATCTTAGGAGGCTGAGACCTGAAGATTGTGGATCAAAGACAGCCTGGGCAGGAAAGTCCATGAACCTCTCATCTTCAATTAACACAAAACAAAAACAAAACCAGAAAGAATGCTGTGGCTCAAGAGTCGAGCACTAGCCTTGAGCAAGAATGCCCAGAGACAGTACCCAGGCTCTGAGTTCAAGCCCCAGTATCAACACACACACACACACACACACACACACACACACACACACACACACACATTCCAAAATTGATTGCAGTGATAGTACAACACCATGAGATAATACAAACCATTAAACCCTAAATTGCATACTTTGAAAGGGTGAGTATTATGACTTGTAAATTATATTTCAATAAAGTTGATATAAATATTCTAGCATACATGAAAAATAAATCTCTAATCCTGTAGATGGTTCATTGTCAGTATGAGAAGGGAATCTTTAAGTCTTTGTAAATTAAAAACTTTCAGTTACAAAAGCAACACATGCTTCTTTTGGAAAGGTTAAAACTGAGCAACTATGCAGAGATAATTCATCTCTCTCAACCCAGACAGAAGTAACATTTCTGTACTTTTCTAAAGGTTACAAACTAGAAAGGAAAAGAAAAGCAAAGAAAGAAGGCACCAGAACTGTGTCTTGCTTTTCACTGCATTCATAACAAGAATTACCACTGACATATTAGCATACATTAGCATGGCATATTAGCATAATATCACTGCCATTCCCCTCATTAATGTCTTTGGTACTACTACAATAGCACAAGCTGGACTAGAGTCATGCCACTTGAAGACAGGTCTGTACCATGATTGCATAGTAGAATCACTTAGGGATCCTAGAAAAGCCATACTCATTTTCTAACAACACCAAATAAATCAGAATTTCCAAAGGAAGGTAGAAAAGGTGAGGTTTCAAGTTATATTTCAGGTCTCTTAAGTAATTATGACCATGGGGAAGACACTAGGTTTAAAATGAGACTTCTGCCATCCCAGACCTCAGTCTTAGGTTCTAGCAGCATTGACTTCTATGTGTTTGCAAGGCTATAGTTTTCATCTTTGTGTTTCTGCTGAGGTTAAGCATCTTTTTTTTTTTAATAGTTTTACCTTTCATATAGATTTTTCAACTGCAGTATTGGCAATTGAATCCAGGGCCTTGTGAATGCTAGGCAAATAGTTTACTGCCTAATTCATGCCCCTAGTCCTTTTGCTTTGTATTTGGTTTTTGAGATAGATTCTTTCACCTGGCTGGACCCAAACGTGATTTTCTTGCCACAACCCTCTGAGTTCTTGGGATTACATATAAGCACTACCACATCTGGCTTTGTCATCTATTTTTTCCTGAACTATATCTGTCGAGGGCCTTGTCAAATGCTTCTATTGAATGGCTGGTCTTTTTCTTACTCATTCCTGAGAAGTCTCTCTTTTCACATTACATAAATCATGTCAGTTAAAGAAAAGCCAACACTTTGGCTTTGACTTTTAAAAGCAATGACTGTGAACCTGACATTTTTCTTAGCTCTGTAGATATATTAAACTCAATTAATGTCACAACACAATGAGGTAGGTATCATCATTCTTATTTAAGACTTGAAACCTCAGCACAAAAATGTTAATTGAATAGTAAAAGCAGGTTTGAACCTCCTAGTTCAAATGTACCCGCTAAACACTGAACTAGGTTGAGACCTTGACTGTTGAAAATAGTGGACTTAAGAATGTCAGAAAATTATATTACATGTGTTTGTGGCTCTTACTTGTAATTTTAGCTATTCAGGAGGCAGAGATCTGGTGATGACAGTTCAGAGCCAGCCCCCAAACTGGGTAGGAAAGTCCATGATACTCTTATCTCCAACTAACCACCAAAAAGCCAGAAATGGAGCTGTGGATCAAGTGGTAAAGTGCCAGCCCTCACCACAACATCTCAGGTACAGTGCACAAGCCCTGAGTTTAAGCACCAGGACTGGCACATACACAGACACAGACACAGACACAGACACACACACACACACACACACACACACACACACACACAGACATACACATACACATACACACATGCACAGAGAGAGAGAGAAAGAGAGAGAGAGAGAAACACCCTACCGATTAAATACATTTTAATGGTTTATAAGGAACACAAGTATAGTCAGGAGGAACCTAGAAGGTACTACCAAAGAAATGGTGATTCCAAACAAATGTGTTGAAAAACAACAACAAATAGAAGGTAAGGGGAGGGTGTGCTATAGAGTTGGATGTTGGAATAGTTTTACTTCTCCTAGTTGAAGGAGAAATGGGTTTATGAAATGTTCATGTTTAATCAATCTACCCCCATCACCTTAGTCTATAGTTGGGATAAGGTTTTATTGAACCCAAAGAGATCTTCAGTACATGTACAAAACACAGATAATCTATTTGTACTCATAAACTCTCAAAAAACTCTCCATAAGATACTAGAAGTTCCTTTCAGTCCACGTTTTTCTTCAGTGGGTTGAAAAGCTCACAGCATATCTACCAATCCAGCTGGGCAGGATAAATACCTCATGGCATAATTCAGCAGAGCCTACTGGCTTAGGGCAGTATCTGAAAACAGTATGAGGAGGTCTTCCTGGGGTAGGAATAGATGTAGTCTGTGTAATTAGGTATGAAAAAAGCCATAAGTGAAATACATAAAGATGAAATGACTTTAGAAGAGGAGGGTCCAGTCTGGTAGCAGCTGCCATGTGTGAATCATTACCTGTGCAGTGAAAGCTGCTCATAATGCTCATAGCACGCTGGGAAGGAATACCAAGTACGGTGTGCTCACAGTGCTCAGAGCATGCTGGGAAAGAATACTAATTTTCAGTGTTCTGGCTTTAGTGAGAGTGTGGTGAGAATGTGACCAGAGGAATTCCAGGGGACAGGTGAAGAACAAGTGTTGGCGAGAGCTGATGATTAAGGCTGTGTATGCAGAGAAGGCCTGAAGGTGTTGTATTAGAAAACTTCATGCTCTGAAGGGCTTTCCACCAGAGGTGGGAGGGGACACTCAGTCTGTGTTCATGATAAGAGAAAACACTTGCAGATATCGGAGACTCCCTTGAAGCTATTAACCCTGCACCCAGGACACAGAGACATGTACACACACACACACACACACACACACACACACACACACACACACACAACACACACATTCTTCCATGCACCCTGCAACATAGACCTTACAAGTAGTTTTAGGAGTTTCTAAGCCAGATTAAGAATCCTTTGCTTAGAAGTTACAAAGACTCACGTGATATATATAAAATGAGGTTTTATAAAAGCCTGTTGTCAACACCTGGCACTGCTATTTAGAAAAAGATTTGCATTTAAAAGAATCTAAAAGGGCTATAAGAATTAAGGCAAGGCTGTTGGGGGGGGGGTGGGCGGTCAGTGGGGGAAGTTAATAATTCTGGTGATAGACACAATTTACTAAATGACCCCAACTTTACAATGGTCATTTTGATGACCCAACAGAAAAGTAAAAGTGTACTCATTCATTTCCCTACTTTTTATTATATATATATATATTTTTTATTGTGAAAATATTGCACAGAGGGATTACAGTTACATGACTAGGGTAATGAGTACATTTTGTATTGAGCATTGTTATCTCCTTCTTTGTTTTCCCCTACCATCACTTCCCTCCCCACCTCCCCAACTCCCCCTGACCCCCACACCCCACATTGTAACGTTTGCTTTCAACATAGTGTCCTGTACATCTCATCATCACAATGGGTCAACCTGCATCCCCATTTAAGCATTCGGCTATATCCCTTCCCCCTACTTTTTGTAATTCTCATTGCTTGGATTTCTCATTCAAAGCAACATTTCAATCTGACACGAATGCCTGTAATCCTGACAGTGAGAGAATCATGGTTCAAAGCCAGCCTGGGAAGAAAAGCTTTCCAGATCCTATATCAAAAATAACCAGCAAAAACAGGGCTAGAGATGCGACTCAAGTGATAGAATACCAGTTTAGCAATCTTGAAACCCTGTGCTAACCTCCAATACCTCCAACAGACAAACAAACTAACAAATCTACAATTTCTACATGAAAGAAAAGCCTACCAGTGGTACATTTGGAGTGGCTGGAGGTTCTTTTTGATTTTTTTCTTCTAGATCAAGGAATAGCCTTCAAGACAAAGATTGATAACACTGGACCTATTTTCTACAGGAAGAATTGTCAAATTCCATCAAAAATATGTCATCATTTTCTTTGAACAAAAAGCCTGCTAGACATCAAGGAGTCATAGAGAATCCCAGGTGTTTATATTTTCTATATTCTTTAGCTTTGCATACAGCTGATGGGAAGAAGTATTTAGGATGGATGGTGGATTTTAAACTTTAATATGTAGCAGAATCATCAACAAGACAGACACCAAAACATAGATAGCCTAAACTCATCCAGAGAGTTTCTGATTCATTGGGTCTAGGGTGTCACCCAGGTATATTTACTTCTAACAAGATCCCAAGAGATTCTGCTAGAGCTACCCTTTGTGAAAGCTGGCAAGGAACTCCCTGACATCCGATTGTAATGCCATGTTTCCTTCCTTAGGTCAAACTTCTATGGCTGCATCATATTCTGAGCAAGTAATTAAACAGGTGGAAGATCGTCTGTATCTTTGCCACATCCCACTCACCCTGTGCTGTGGAGAGTCTTAGTCAAAAATGCAACTCTCTCCTGGGAGAAAAGAAAGAAAATTGGTATACTCACCAGAGTGGAAATATTCCCAGCCGTGTGGTGATAAAAACCATGGCGAACATAATAAATAGGAGAGAACACATTTTCTGAAACTTGGCATAATTCGCCATTTTGGCAGCCTATAAAAGGTAGGAATATAACACATGAATGTAGTTAAACTGATAAGTGAAAAGCTTCCTTCAATATGCATGAGTCCCCTATAAGATACAGCTTACCAAATACATAAAATTGCTTGCTACTTTAAAATGTCATGCATCATGCACCAGTGTTTATAAATTACACATAAGTTGAGTGAAATGCAGCATTAACCATAAGTAGAATGTTGGGCTGTCACAGATTTAATAAAATATTCAGCAACTTGAGAAATTCAATTATATGCTTGGTTTCAGGAAAACAGACAGGCAAAGTAAAAAAACTTTTGCATTATGAATGATCTTAGCAAGCCAGAGACACCAAAACAGAAATCTGGCCTAACAAATCAAAATAGCAAGTGTTATATCAACCCTTAAACATTTTACAGAGTCCCAAATGCTGGGGTCACAAACTATAAAGAAAATACGCAGCTTTTCTGCAGCATTTTTTTCCTTTCTACTTTGGACTGCAGATTTGCTTTAAATAGGCTCAAGGAATATTTCTAGGAGACAGCTTCCTGGCTTAGTCTCATAAACTTAGAAATAAAGAAAGCATCAAGATCATGTTATTTCAGCTAATCCATTTTTCAAAGTTCCAAGTCACTTCCTAGATGAAAGTCACTAATATTCAGTACATCTCTAAGAAGTAGTTGCAAAATTTATGGCAGTGACTTAAGTGACCACGTTTACATTATATATGAGTCTAGGGAGAAAGCCACGCCCCTTTATCTGCTCTCACTTTTTCTTTCTTTCTTTTTTTTTTTTTGTCAGTCAAGGGGCTTGAACTCTGCCTGAGCGCTGTCCCTCACCTCTTCAGCACAAGGCTAGCACTCTACCAATTGAGCCATAGCACACCACCTCTGGTTTTCTGGTGGTTTACTGGAGATAAGAGTCTCATGGACTTTTCTGCCTGGGCTGGCTTTGAACTGTGATCCTCAGATCTCAGCCTCCTGAGTAGCTAGGATTATAGGCATGAGCCACTGGCATGCGGCTCTGCTCTTACTTTTTAAGATGGCTTTAAGAGTAGGAGAATTTTGCAGAATCTTGCTCAATTACTTCTTTTCACAATTTTACATGGAACTATAGTACCTTCTTCCACATACATAATGTTATTTCCTACTTGTTGAAAGTTAAGTTAACTGGGTCATACTGGAAAAGATTGCTGACAGAATTATCAAAAGTTGTGATTTAATGGTTTTAAGGAATGTACAAAACAATGGGATAAGTGTATTCCTAAGAAGAAATACCTTCAGAGTGGAAACCAGGATTATGGAATTTAATTTTTCATGGATACTTGGAGTGTAACCTCAAAAATTGTGATAAAAGAAAAATATGTCTGCCTTCTCTTGTATTAGGCAAACCAAATAATTCTTCTTTTATGTTTACTCATTAATATATAATATAGAAGCAGTCGCATTAACTTGTCAGAACTGGCCAAGCCATAGATACCATACTAAAGTGTCATTAATTGGATCTTTTCAAATCGTATTTATAATATCAAAGAAAATCCAGGTAGATAATAAAGAAAATTTGCTTGGACTTCTTGATTTCTGGATTATTATAATTTTTTCTTTTATGGATAAAAGTGGTAGATGATAATTCAACCAATATTTTATGAAGTACTGCCCTATAATCATCATGCCAGCAATTTCTACAGCAATTAAAGTTGGCTGAGTACATGACTGATTAATACATTGTATATTGCTGCATAAATTTTGACTTCTAGGTATATGTAAGATTTAATCAAATTGTAATTGATTTTCAAGAAACCTCCCTTCTACTATATATATTTCTTCTCTAAAAATATGTTGATCAGGGCTGGGAAGGTGGCTCAGTGGTAAAGTGCTTGCCTCACATGCATGAGGCCCTGGGTTCGATTCCTCAGCACCACATAAGCAGAAAAAGCCGGAAGTGGCACTGTGGCTCAAGTGGTAGGGCACTAGCCTTGAGCTGAAGAGCTGAGGGACAGTGCCAGGCCCAGAGTTCAGGCCCTGCGACTGACAAGATAAAAATAAAATAAATGTTGAACAGTTACTGAAACAAGGACACGGGATGGTCCATTGCAGCAATGATACCCACAAGACACTATGTTAGAAATGAACTTTAAATAAGTGGCTAAAGACTTAAAGAGAAACTTCTCTGAAGAAGAAAGAAGGATGGCCAATAGACACATGAAGAAATGCTCAACATCCCTAGCCATAAAAGAAATGCAAATCAAAACAACATTGAGATACCACCTCACTCCAGTTAGAATGGCAAAAATCAAGAACTCTAACAACAACAGATGCTGGAGGGGATGTGGACAGAAGGGAACCTTACTTCATTGTTGGTGGGAATGTAAACTTGTTCAACCACTTTGGAAAGCAGTATGGGGGTTCCTCAAAAGACTTCACATAGAGCTCCCCTATGATCCAGCAATCCCACTTTTGGGCATTTACCCAAATGTTTACAAACAAGACCACACTAAAGCTACCAGCATAACTATGTTTATTGCAGCATTATTTACCATAGCTAAGACCCAGATGCTCCTCAGTAGATGAATGGATCAAGAAAATGTGGTATATATACACAATGGAATTCTATGCCTCCATCAGAAAGAATGACATTGCCCCATTTGTTAGGAAATGGAAAAACTTGGAAAAAATTACACTAAGTGAAGTAAGCCAGGCCCAAAGAAACATAGGTCCCATGGTTTCCCTTATTTGTAATATCTAGTATATGTATGAGTCAAGCGGAAAAGGTCAGATAATGTGATGTCAGGAAAATGAACCCTTAGATATGTATTTTAATGTTTTTTTCTTTCATGCATGTGTTTCTAACGCATTTATAAGATTATCTCTTTGTTGCTTTGTATGTCCCTCCCCCACAGTATAACCCCTGCTTTCACTATATTTGATGTCAGTATAACTTGTGGAGGAGATGGGGAAAAACAAATCGTTTAAGGATACAGGTGGACCTGTTGCAACAATGAGAAGTACAAGTTGTCATGTGGAAAACGAGCTTTACAACATTGGTGGGGGGGGGAGGATTAGGTGGGGGGGTGAGGGGGAGGCTGGGAAGGGATGTGAAGGGGAAACAAAAGAGGAGGCTGCAATGCTTGATAAGAAATGTATGCATTATCCTGCCCATGTAATTGTAACCCCTCTGTACAGTATGTTCACAAAATAAAATAAAATGAAAAAAAAACCCCATAGCCTCAAAGTACTATCAGACTTATCTAGTCCATTAGTACTATTTTTCTGTTCTCTTTAGAGACCAGAGGTACATTAGTACTATTTTTCTGTTCTCTTTAGAGACCAGAGGTTTCTAATAAGATGCTGTGTATCTACTTTAAGCCTTAACTAATTGCTTTTATGAGTAGATTCAACTTTATAGACTTTCTGCTCATACTACAGTAGCAGGCCATTATTTGAGGATATTTCTATACTTACAATAACAATAAATGTTTTAAAGATTATAAAGCAGTAGGAAGATAGGAATAAAAACTTAGAATAGATTCTGAGACTCATTTCTATTAGAAATTTTGACTGGCTATACAAATTTCTTACTATAAAGTGAAAAAACTTTTGAGTGTGACACTTTTTGAGTGTAGTAAATTCTTTACAGTTTCTCTATATAATTTGCAATTCTACCTTTTTCATTATAAAAACACAAGGAATAGGGCTGGGAAGGTGGCTCAGTGGTAGAGTGCTTGCCTTGCATGCATGAGGCCCTGGGTTCGATTCCTCAGCACCACATAAGCAAAAAGAAAAAAGCCGGAAGTGGCGCTATGGCTCCAGTGGTAGAGCGCTAGCCTTGAGCTGAAGAGCTAAGGGACAGCGCCCAAAAAAAGGGACTGGACCCCCCCCCCCAAAAAAAACATAAAGAATATATATCTACACATATATTTATGCTATAAAAGCTATAAACTACTTAATTTTATTGAAATGTATAATTATAACAACAAAACTGGGTTATATATAATTTTCAGATAAATCAGCCTTTTTTACAATTCAAGAAACCATATTAAAATAACTTCTCATTGTAAAAAACATTAAGTGTACAATAGTAAAGGTTCTCATTCTTCTATTAATAAAGCATCCTAGCATGGTTAACTTTTCTTGTGTAAAAGTTTATATATTAATTGAAGGTCTTATTTTTATTAATTTAACCAAAAAATAAATATTACTCAGTTTCAAAGCACCATCTTGCATAATAACATTGAAGAATACATGATTGCAAGCATTTCAAGAGTCCTTGATTTCTTACTCTTAAAGATGAAGGAAATATTTACCTCTAGAAGAGCATCAGCTGAGTCATGAAGACAGAGGACCAGGGTTCCTACTCGGGCCATATTGTTGACATATGAAAAGGTAATCAAGAAAATAGTTACAAGGTGGTGCAGGAACATAATGCCAAAGTCCTTGAGGGAGGAAAAAACACAACCAAGTTAGGGCTTAGCAACATACAGTATTGCCATCCATCCAGTCAACCTTCAAACCAACACCCTCTGAGAACCTCCATAAGTCTAGCATGTAGGATACTAAATTGAGCAAGACCTAATTCCTGACTTTGGGGAGTGGAAGAGGCCAGTGTCCAAGGAGAAAGCAAATAATACACACACAAAGCTACACTAAGAATGATATTTTGTTCTAAGCAAACAATTTTTGAAGCTATAGGAGATAAATTGTCACAGACTTTCATGCAAAATAGAACACTACTTGGATGCTAACTTTGCTTCGTGGCTTCGATAACTGTCCCTTAAAGGTTGAAGTTTAAAGCCTTAGATCCTGACCCCGAGTCTTTTCAAAGGTGGTAGAACACTTTAAGAGATGGGGCCTAGTGAGAGGAAGTTAGGCTAGGGCGTCTGTTACTGAAGTGGATATTGGGACCTCTCCATATCTTCCTTTTTCCTTCTTCCTCTGCTGCTTCTTCCTCTGCTGCTTCTTCTTCCTCCTCCTCCTCCTCCTCCTCCTCCTCCTCCTCCTTCCTCTTCTTCCTCTTCCTCTTCTTCCTCTTCTTCCTCCTCTTCTTCTTCTTCCTTCTTCTTCTTCTTCTTCTTCTTCTTCTTCTTCTTCTTCTTCTTCTTCTTCTTCTTCTTCTTCTTCTTCTTCTTCTTCTTCTTCTTCTTCTTCTTCTTCTTCTTCTTCTTCTTCTTCTTCTTCTTCTTCTCCTTCCTCTTCTTCTCCTTCCTCTTCTTCTCCTTCCTCTTCTTCTCCTTCCCTTTCTTCTCCTTCTTCTTCTCCTTCCCTTTCTTCTCCTTCTCCTTCTCCTTCTCCTTCTCCTTCTCCTTCTCCTCCTTCTCCTTCTCCTTCTCCTTCTCCTTCTCCTTCTCCTTCTCCTTCTTCTCCTCCTCCTCCTCCTCCTCCTCCTCCTCCTCCTCCTCCTCCTCCTCCTCCTCCTCCTCCTCCTCCTCCTCCTCCTCCTCCTCCTCCTCCTCCTCCTCCTCCTCCTCCTCCTCCTCCTCCTCCTGCTTCTTCTGCTCCTTCTGCTTCTGCTTCTGCTTCTGCTTCTGCTTCTTGTTTGTCAGTCATGGGGCTTGACCTCTGGGCCTGGGCGCTCTTCAACCTAAGGTTAGCTCTCTATCACACTTTGAGCAACAGGGCCACTTCCAGTTTTCTGGTGCTTTATGGGAAATGAGTCTCATGGACTTTCCTGCCTGGGCTGGCTTTGAACCATGATCCTCAGATCTCAGCCTCCTAAGTGGCTAGGATTACAGGTGTGAGCCACCGGCACCCGCCATATCTTTATTTCTTTTGGTTCCAATCTGTCTTGAGGTAAGCAACTTCCTCTACCATGTGCTCCAAATCCAATGCGTTGGCTTGCTACAGGTCCAAAAGCCATGGACTGAAACCATATGATCAAATGTATAAATTGATTTATCACAGGTATTTTTGTCACAGTAACAGAAAGCTAACACAAACTGTAAGAATACTTTTTGGAGCTGGGGTATGGCTGAGTGATAGAGTGCTTGCTTAGCATTTGTAAGGATTTGCATTTGATTCAAAGCCCCATACATACAAAGAAAAAAAGTCTTTGAGGCAACAATGCAAATCCAGTTCTTGGCCAGCCTGTGACTACAGCTTCTAAAGCTATTTGTTGTTGTTTTTGACCAACATGTGGCTTCTCTTAAGAGACGGCCAGCAATGGTGGGAGGAAAAGAACATCATATGATTTTCAGGCACGGTTGTGTGCTGGCTGTGGAAAGCCGGAGAAGCCAAATCATAACGTTTAAAGTAGTGCTACGGTGGTGTGAAAGAGGCCCTTTCCTCCTAAATGTATGTGTTAAAATTAACCATGCTTACAGTGTTAAAGGGTGGGGCTTTGGGGGTGTGATTAGGTCATGAGGCCTGACCCCTCTTGAATGGGATTAGTTGCTCTATTAAAGAGGCTCCTTCTTTCCTATGGGGGCACAGCTAGACGATGCCATTTGTAAAGAGGAAATGGGCCTTCATCAGACTTTAAAACTGGAAGACATAAACTGCTGCTGCTCCTCACCTGGTTCTTACTCTGACATTTTGTTTTTGAAGCCTAAATATTGACAGACGTAGTGGTTTGTTTGTTTGTTTCCTCATCTCATGGATTTCTTGAGCTGGGCCTCTCCTCATTATCTATACTTTCTCCATAGTAATTTTAAACAATATCTGGCAGGAGTAATAGTAAATCAACCATTTTTATTTTGGGCAGCTTCAAGAAAGCTACTGCTTGGCCCAAGTGAAAAGATGATCTTTCTTTAATATTATTTATTTCTTTACCATCTAGACATGGTTTGATGTTAGAAACAGCGTCTTGGCCTGATTTTTTCTAATCTGTATTTCTTCCACAGTAAACTGAATTTCAGTGGAACTTAAGGGCAAAGGTTGATGCTCTTCCTAAAACCTTTTGAGAAAGAAGAATACTTCCCTCTAGATCATTCATCAAGAAAGATACATTATCAAAAAGAAAATGTATCCTGAGAACCTGACCTATGAGCAAATCATGATTAGGAAAAACAAGGCTAAATGTAGGCTTAACCTGGTAGAACTCTTATTAAATTTCTATCCTTGGGAGTTAAGATCCATGTGGCCATTTATTTACTAAAAAATATTTATTGAGCATTTACTGCATCCTAAGCTTTGGAGATAAATAAGTAAACAAAATGGACACAGACTTCTGTCCTTTGTGGAGGTCATATGTTCTAGTTCTTGTTGTTATGTTATTGAACTTAATAAATAAATCCTCTTTTATGCTATAGGGGACAGGTAATCATGTTAAGGGGATGGTAGGGAGTTCTGGCTGCTAGAAGAAATAGACAGTGGTGGTAAGTAATAGGGTCAGAGCAGACCTCTTAGAAGGAGACTAGCCACAGAGATGGATAGGTATCATAATATTCCCTGGAGAGAAAGCAAAGCTGACTCCCTTCCGCCTTCCCTCCTTCCCTCCATTCTCCTATTCTGATGTTCAAAAAACAGCAGGGGGTTTAGGAAACAGGAGTAGAGAGAGAGAAGAGTGAATGTTAGAGGATAACCTTATGGAATTTTTTCCCACTAGTTTCTACCTGTTAAAATTATTTTTAAAAAGATGTTTTAACTCTGGTAATAGAAGGTAATAACTCTACTATTTAATCTCTACTATACAGATACTCCTCAAGATGAATTAGAATTAAAAGGTGAAGAGTCAAATTATTTCTGGATTTTTTTTTTTTTTGGGTCCGGTCGTGGGGCCTGAACTCTGGGCCTGGGCGCTGTCCCTCAGCTCTTCAGCTCAAGGCTAGCACTCTACCACTTGAGCCACAGTGCCACTTTTTCTGCTTATGTGGTGCTGAGGAATCGAACCCAGGCCCTCAAGCATGCAAGGCAAGCACTCTACCACTGAGCCACCTTCCCAGCCCCTATTTCTGGAATTTTAAAAATGGTTTCATTTACTACATTAGAGTATCTACGACACACTCACATTGAGACAGAATAGAGAGATGAGGATAGGGAAATTTTTTTAAAACCAAACATCAAAAGGGTAGGTGGGATCCTTTGAGTGGATCTCAAGACTGGTGATTTTTGGGTAGAAAATGGGAAGCCGAGGGGCCCTCATGCATGGTAAGGTGACCACCGTCAGCCCTATACGGCAGGAGGACCTTCCTTTGGTTCTATTCTCCAGTTTTCCCCAAGAACAAGTTTGGGCAACAATGCTCAGGTTGACAGATGCTCAGCCAAGCTACTTTGATTCCATGAATTACATTGGCACCAACAACTAAGTCAAGTTCAGTGGTTAGCTCTTTATAGATTTAAGTTACTCTCTTATACACAGGGAACCTGGAGGTCCCATATGTCTCTTCTTTGCTAAGCTGCCATGTTTTCTCCTGCTGTAGCCAGTGTGGTCCCATGACTTCTATTCTTGTCTCTGATTTGCCAGGTGGAGGGGCCATTTTCTTGTTGGCCCCCACTTACCTATCCTGGCCCTATAGCTGCCTTTATCCCAACTCAGAGAAGTATAGATTTCAAATTTCTCTTTCCTATTCTAATTCAATTAAGTACTTTTGGTTAGTTTGTCTGGGTTCAGACAATTTCCATTTTTTAAAAAAGACAAAGGACAGGAAAGCCAGCATCTTACAGATATGCCTAGACTTAGGAAGACTATGTGCATCTTACGTAGTTGATGGACAAGCCTGGCGGACTTATTGCATGAAAACCAACTTGCAATCCAGGCTCCAACTCATTAATTTCATAATTTTGACTGAAGGCATCAATATCCTCATCTGTACAATTAAGAGGTTGGATTAGGTTATTTTAGAGCAGTCATTTCTGTAATTCTAGGCTTGGTAATGACAATGATTAAGCTCTATTTGAAGTCATTAATCTAATTTCATGCCTGTATTAATTAGAAAGGGAGAGTAATGCACTCACACAGCAATATGCACACACCTTCTAGAAGCTCAGAAGCCTTTGCTGTTACTATTGTTGGAAGTTTAAAAACTCAGATTCAGGGGTGGGGGCTGGGGGGAGGATGGGATGGGAAGGGGAAACAAAGGAAGAGGCAACAATGCTTGATAAGAAATGTACTTACTATCTTGCCCATGTAATTGTAACCCCTCTGTACAATATTTTCACAATTAAAAAAACTCAGATTCAACACTTTTAATTATCTAAATAATTTTGTCTACACTTTGGTGAATATGCTTGGGGTTCATTTTCTCTCCTGGAAAGGGCTTCTCATTTATAGATAACTATATTTACTGAGGTAAATAGTATGCTAGTTTCCTACATGAGGTCAGATCATTTTTTAAGTTAAATGCAATAGTTTCTCCTCCTTTCCAGTCTCCAAACTAGTCATGTTGCACTGACAGTGAATACCACTATTGGAAATATTACTGACAGTGAATACCACTATTGGAAATATTACCTGCCTTGCACAAATCAATTCTAACTGACCACAGCCAAACTGAGCATT